GAGATGATGGAGAGGAGAGTATCGACGAAGGCCGATAAAAAGGAACAATTGACGGGGAGGCCGAGTACAGGAAACGATGAGCGGTCGAGGAGTCGATACGAAGAACGAGAGAATCACGCGAGCGAGTCCGGTAACTCCACGGACCAGCCGGGATATCAGACTGAACGCAGTTGGACACGTTCGCCAGTTTCTTACCCATCGGCCGACCTACCCCGCGACCTTCTTCATAATTGATTGACAAATCCGCACTGTACACCTGCGTGTGTAATCCGGGATCTATAGCTCGTGCTCTAGAATACTTGTACTTGAATTATGTGAGGCGCGCTGTACGGCCGGATCGAATGTCGCGTACGTTAATGAGTATGCGCGGATGGAAACTAAACGCTGAGGTAGATCGAAATTCAAATCGGTGACAAATCGCGATTAACAATTAAGCGTTATGGTGTGCGTTTGTTGTAATAAAGCGATATGGATATATTATTTAGGAAATAAAAGCTCTCTTTTAAAAAAATTAACGCGAATTTCGTTGCGTTAAAACAATTATGTAACTTTAAAATTTATAAATATTAATATCATAATGTTATAAAATATATCATACCAGATATTTGAAAGAAGTTAATTTATAAAATATCAAAAAAGTAGCATTGCGTTCAGATGTAAAATTAATGTAAAGAAATATTTTAAAAAATTAAACCTGTCCTGTGTGATATTTGCAAATTGCACGTTGTTATATAAAATATATAAAATAATCTAAGTGCGTTATGTTTTACAAATGTGATGAAAGAACATAGTTGTAATTACGATTACGTAAAGCGAAGAAAAAAGTACATGAAACTTCACACCAGCTTGCGTCACTACGGATGTTTGAATAAACATCGTTCTGGCAAATTGATGCATACGGAAGTACACGCTCGAGTTTCCCGAGCGATGCGACACTTCATTGCACCAAAAGAAAACGCAAAATATTTCACTATTAACCGCTGATGTCTTCGGATTGGAAAAGAATATAGCTCTTATCGTCGGGTCGTGTTGTCTGGCAGTTTCCCAAAAGGTCGAATGTTCTTTTTCTCATGCTGCACATCAATAAAAGGTAACAAGAGAAGAAGAACGAGTTTTCGTAACGGTATTAGCGCTTCTTCAAGTTCTCCCCGATGTCAAATCAAACGCCAGAAATAGTGAAATCGATGAAGTCAATTATTCTCGCTAAATCATACTGGTAATAATTATTGTACAACACGATAAAATAAAATACATGTAGAAAAAATTTTTAATATATTGTGTCTATATATTTTTAATATATATATATATATATATATACAAAATAATTTTGTATTACAAATTATATGAAAAAGATATTTGTAATCCAAGAAAAGAAAAATAAGAATGTAAAAATATGAAAATTTAGAGGTATAAAAAACATAGAGATATAGATTAAATAATTAAAAATATCGATAATGTGCGCTGCGAAAATAACAAACGTTAAATCAATGCTATAATGGCTCGTCTATCGGAATGGTTTGTGCTCGGAATCGAAAGCACAAATGTCCACGAAATTAATTGACTTATTAATCTCTTAAGACGCGAGATACGTGATTGATCGCCGGCTACTTTAGCCTAATGGCATAAAGTACACGTGCGCGACTCTGACGACGTGTTGGACTCCGAGAAAGTACAGTTACGACGATTATTATCTTATACCACGCAGTCACGGACATAATATAGAATTTGATTATGGGTACTCTTCCACCGTCCACCTTCCACCCCCGTGAGCACCGATATCAATAAAGCGGTGCCCACCAACGCGTGATGTCGTGGTGTTCTGCATTATTGAGATGCGCCAGGTGTGCACAGGACCAGGTTGCGCAGTCCTTCTTGAAGGCCATAAAAAGACGTCATACGACATGACACTTGTACAAAGTTCTACAAGTTCGAGACTCGGAAGAAGTAACTAAAAGTTCCGTCTTGTGCCAGGACACTGCGTAACTCAGTGCGACAAACGGAAATGCTCCCAGAAAATCGATTCGCCCAGAGTCACCCACAAACGTCACACACAAACGTGTCCCGCAAAGATATTACGACAATTAAATATTGCAAAAGAAGACAACAAAACAAAATATTTAAATTGGAGGAAACTTTTCGAATATTTGCTTTAATAAAATTATTTTGATAAGAATATCACATTCAAAGAATATGACTGATGTCTAATCATTCAATTAACATCTAATTTATCCGATGATGATTATTGTCAGGTGTAGAAGATACTTTGAACTTAGGCATTATTAGAGATAGAATAAACATCGGTAAATATATTTCCCGGATCCGCGTAATCTTCAGTATAATCTTTAACGTGCGAGACAAATGATACATCGTGGCGAGTCGAGATAAACGAGATAAACAGACAACTCATTTCGAAGTCGCACGAGTCGTTGAGAATACATAGATGCTGTTGAATGCATTTCCTTGACAACGAATGCGTTTGCATATTTATCGTTCAATGCTATCGAACTGTTGGCGATTTCTCGAAGATACGAAAATCGAGATGCCTTTTATTGTACGAAGAGAAAATTATGCATGTGTAATACATTTTTTAAGAGGTGTTTTCTAGTATACAAAATCAACGTCGATAATTTATCAAAGATAAAAAATTATATCGTTGAAAAATATAGGCGAGAAAGTATTAAAATAATCAATATTCATTCTACCATTGCTGTTAAATGAGCTAAATATATCCAAGTGATTTTTGTTAAAAATATAAAAAAGATTTCTTGATGCTTTACGTACGTAAAAAGATATGTACAATAAACTAAAATTATAATAATTCAATAAATATTAAAATCTATTAATTTATTTATTAAAGATCAATCTTTGTCACATTTGCGTTTATTATTTGCTATAAAGTTAAATTAGATATTAATGATTTGATAGTTCCCTAAAAACTTGTCTT